AGCGGAAATTTGTTTCATCCATGTTAAGCACCGTTGTTTTTTTATAGAATAAAATGTTTATTTAGGTCCAGAAGGTAAACATCAAGCGATTATGTTATGTTATGCTAAATGCATTCACTTTAGCTAGATAAATACTTATGATTTGCAAGTGTCCTTTTATTGGGTTTAATACTGTTTGCATGCTACGAGTCGGTTATTTCAATGATGAGCACGGAATAAATTATATTTGAATAGCCTATGCGTATGCGTGTAGCTGGAATACAACCATCTGCTTCATCTTTTTCAGCTTCTTAAATTTAAACACAACTCATTTTGTCTCATCGCTTCTCAGACTCCTCCTCAATCTGCTCAGTCAATGAGCCGTGATAAATATAGCCTAAATATGTATGTATTTCTAATGCAAAATATAATATAAATCTTATGCCGTCTATATACTCGTTTGTAGTACATATGTATATTATGTATTATGTATTGGGGGGCATGCTGCCATTGTTAGAATCGAGTTGGGTTTGATATGGGTCAGAAGTCGTCAATTGCACAGGAATAGTTAAGAATAGATGCTTATTAGGTATTGCACAGAGTAAATTGTAAAATCGTCACAACAAAGGGCACACAATATAAAAAAAATTAAATTTAGTTTTCCTTTCCATATGCCAACATAATTTAAATATCACAGACGTTTTGCCAATTTTTTAACTAATTCTCCATTTTGCGTGTTAATTTTGCATGCCAAATCGGGAAGTACAGAGAGTGAGGAATAAGTCAATAAAGGAGATAGATTCATAAAAAACGGTTCCAACCGCTGTTTCGATGCACCCTACAAGTCTCAACATATGAGGGTTGACCACTTGTATAGTGCATGGGGCACCGCACCGCACCGCACCCAACCATAATCCCAATCAGGATCGGGGCGCAACATATACTCGTACATATCTAAATGTCAGTCAAGGGTTGAAACGAAATCAAGTCTTGTGTTGAACATGGCACATAATTGCTAAAAGAAAACTGGAGCCAAGCCTATGAAGGTGAACCTCTATCCTTATAATATAAATGGGTTTAAGTATGTAATACTATGTATTCTCGAAATTCTGGACGAATTTGAGCGTAAAGTGTGTGTGTGTGTGTGTATGTGATGATATATCATTCTGTTGGGTGCCATCTTACCATCCCCGCCTAGTGCATGTTATCCACCCTGCCTGATGGCAGACCCAAAGCGGCGCTCAGATTTAGTCCTTGTGGAACGGCGACACCGACACCGACGCCAACGCCCACACCTGTACCCAAGTTACCTTCGCTCTCACTCTTCCAGGAGGATACCGGTATGTGGGGAGCCGGTAGGCAGTTGCGCAGCGTTTGCACAATCTGAATGGTGTCCATGAGTGCTGCAAATGAAGTCAGTGTCTAATATCGCAGACGAATACGAATAAACCGGTTCTCCCTCTACTTACTCTTCTGCAGACTCTCGCTCTGCTTGCCGTAGGGCTTGCACATGGATGGACGTATGTAGGTCTTCATGCGAGACATGTTCCGCATAAGTTCGGAGAAAATGCGTACAATCTTGTCCTGCCCAACGGCCATGTGGTCCATGCGATTGGCATCGCTGGTGGCCCAGGCCCCGTTGTGCAGGGCCAGCAGATCTTTGTTCGATTCAATCGAATCAAGATTTGAGCTGCAAAGAGAAACACTTGTGATTAACATTAACTAAAAACTAATAAATGCCATCAAACTAACCGCAAGGAATCAGCTACATTCTTATGTGAGAGCTGATCCAGCGACGAGTGCGAGGAAGACGATGAAGATGAGTGCGGCGACTGCGATGGCGGTGGCATTTGATGGTGATGGGTTTGCGAACTGACACCAGAACCGACAGACGTGGATGTGCTGGCGACCGGAGGTGGTTGCTGATTCGCAGCCACGGCGGCGGCCACTGCCTGCGATTGCATCAGTCCCTGGATCTGCAAATTGGCTGCTGCTGCAGCCACGGCCATGGGATCAAAATGCTTGGGATCCAGTTGAGCAAATACACGCTGTTTTTCCAGCGGGCTCAAGTTGCTTAGCTTCTCGAGACTCTGCTGGGCAAGCACGCGATTCTGTTGCTGTATCAGAGCCGCCGTAAGCTGCTGCTGGTGCTTGGCCTGCGCCTGGGCCTGCTGCTGTTGCTGTTGTTGCTGCTGTTGTTGCTGCTGTTGCTGCTGCTGTTGTTGCTGCTGCTGCTGCTGCTGTTGATGATGTGCGGCGGCAGCACTGATCTGGGAGAGCTGCGTCTGAATGCTGTTCTGCTGCTGCTTGGTCAGATGCTGGAGCTGTGGAGGTACTGGAACCTGCGCCACCTTGGAGCCCGTCGACTTGGATAAGTCAATTTCCACATTGCTTGAGCTGGTGCTGCTGGCAGCGCTGGAGGCAGACCCAGCTGCAGCACTTGATCCGGCTGCACTGCTGGGCGGCAGATGGGAGAGTCGCTGCAAAAAGTCGGGCGTATTTACGCCAGGATACTGTTGTTCCATGAATGGCATGGGCGAGATGCCCATGTGGTTCTTGTAGTAACGGCAGGCTGGGCTGGGGCAGGACTGGACTACCTCGATGATGAACTCCTTCTCCATACCGAACTGATCCCGGCCAATCGTGTAGGACTCGATGACAGCCCGCACCGTGGCGTCCACACTTAGATGAAGCCCGTGTGGGCCGGACATGTGCTTCAGCATGACCGCATTGGCGAAATGCTCAAAAGGCAGGACAATCTTTCCATTGTCACGCAGAATCAGACGACCCTGGGAGTCCAGCGTCAGACGATTGGCCAGAACCCTATTCATGGAGGAGACGAACTTGATTGAGTGGAGGGCACTTTTAGATACACTCGCTACGCTTATATACTTACTGCAGGTAGGCGGCGCTGGGCAGCATGGCGTTTTCCTTCAAATCGCTGAAGCACTGCAGCAGCTCGGCGCTCGGGTTCCAGCCCTTGTTCTGCAAATAGAGCTGGAGCAGCATGTAGAGCTTCTCGGTCACATAGCCCACGCCGGGCAGTCCGGCATTCGGCTGCGGCAACATGTCGCTGTGTGACGCCCCGCTGGCCACGCCCCCGACTCCAGGACCCTTGGATAGTGCCGCCTTCATCGTCTCCGATAGATCCAATTTATAGTTCTCTGGGTAGAAGTGCTTAACGTGCTCCTGCAACAATTGATACACAGGCCGCATACCATGAAATCCCACACAGACACGCCTACACATACACAAACGGCCACCACTACCACCCACTTACCAAATTGTTCATTTTCGGCTGTGGGCTGCTGTCTGGCTACTGCAGCGGCATCTATTTGCTGGGACGCCACCAATGCATTTTGGAATCGGGACGCTAACGGCTCATAGGAGCTCTCCAATTGGAATAGGGACGAGACTGCACTAATTGGGAGACAAAAGGAGAAAAAACTGTATCCTGGCGAATTTGTTGTCCTTGCAAGGATCAGTGTGACCGCGGGCTTATTGAACAAATATACCGCCTGACCATCAAAAATATGATAAAATATACCTTTTCATTTTCATAATATACCGAAATATACTGAAGGACAGGAAAAGATTGCATTGATATTCGTTGACTTTGATATTCCGTTTAATGTTAATAGCTTTGTAGCCCTCTCAGCTCTAAACAAATAAATTTATCGAATTCCTCAATAAATTCTGTTCAGGATTGGCTAGTTTTCAGAACTCTTTTTCATTGGATTGTTTACATAATAAGGTTCAAACAAAATGGCCAAAGAGTAGAACGTAAGTGTGTACCGGAATTTGACGTCAGTGTTGCTGGTCAACCAAACTTCTTCTACGCGTTTGGACTTTTGTATACCATATTTCCTTTAATTGATGAACTGATGAATTATAAACGTTTTGTTCCAAGCTGCTATGAAACATTAATAATGAATTTGTCTTAGAATTACATGTTTTATACCTATTTATGCATTTGATTTGTTATCTGTAAATACATTTATCCCGGTCCTGATACCTATTTTTGGTACCCGTGTGCTGCAAAATTTCGTTAATATATTTAAAACATAGACTGAGTAGTTTCTGCATTAATTGGAGCCTGAAATTACAAACAATATCTCAAGTCAATAATATCCATTGTCCTAAGGTATGCAGATTGTTGCTCATCCCGTGCCAAAGTTGCAGAACAATGCTGCCTATTCATTTCGCCATGTTGCTGAAATTTTTCCCATACAAATCAAATGTATCTTACGGGAACGTTCCCATTAGGAACATGTGGCTCACCTCGAAAAAGAGCAAATTTAGAAAAACCACCACGATTTGAGACCGAAAAATGTCGGTATTTTTTTGTTTGGCGGTCACTTTGAAAAATATCTAAGTATATTGAAAAATTAATTGGAACTTATTTGATTGTTTCAAAAAACAGCTAAAAACAAAAAAAGGTCCACAAAAATATCCATTTAATACATGATATTAACTGCATATTTATGGACGCTTTGACTCGATGTTTTTACCACTATCGATAAGTTGAACGTGGAATTCATCGATGTCGGCAATTAGGCGGAAGATTTAAAATTAGATGGTGGGATCCATTAATTGTAGAAGAATGTCTAGGACTCCAAGCTTTTTATACAATTTTACCATTCGCATTCACCCTCACACTCCTTTTAAAAAGGACACGAACATCAAGATTATTTTTAATATTTGCCAAACCCACTAAACCGAAACAAGATCAGAAAACACCGTAAAACACATGTTATCTATGTGGGCATTGGTAGCACGAAACGGTCATAAAAGACCTGCTGGCGAGCACACACAACATATGTGTTCCATATAAATGGATGGTGAGCTTGAGAATCAATGCCCTTCCAAAACAACGCCTCAGCCATGGTGAAGGTCATCTACATAGAGCTTATACAATCAATCCGTGACTAAAAAACGAATCTCATCTGATTTGAATGCTATTTAAATATAAACCAGAAGAGTGTAAAACAGTTGATCTTTTTAAGAAGCTGCATGAGTTTGTATCAATTTAGTTTGGAACTATCATAGGAAGCGACACGTGAAATGGCAAAAGTTCTCTTGGGGTGGATAGTTCTTGTGGTGAACATATTGGGAGTCGCTCTGAAGAACACGGTGAGTGCTGTGTAATGGGTGCTGCTTCGTTCTAATAACCGCTTTGTGTGGACAGGCCGAGTATATCAGCGCTCACAACTATCCCGTGGAGAAGCATACGGCGGTGACCCAAGATGGTTACGAGCTTACCCTCTTTCGGATACCGTACTCTCTTCGCCGTCCCAGTACGCCGGGATTAAAGCCCGCCGTACTTTTGATGCACGGTATGACTTGCTCCTCTGACTATTGGGTGATTACCTGTCCAGAGGAAGGTCTCCCATTCCTACTGGCCGACGAGGGCTACGACGTTTGGCTGGCTAACAGCCGAGGAAACACATATTCGCGCAAGCACAAATCCCTTAGCCCTAAGAATAGGAAGTTCTGGGAGTTCGATTGGCATGAGATCGGAATATATGACATCACCAAAAGCATCGAACTTATACAGGATGTGACTGGACAAAGCGCTGTGCACTATGTGGGACACTCGCAGGGAGGTACTTCATTTCTGGCGATGCTCTCGATGCGACCTGAGTACAATCAAAGAATTAAGACGAGCCATCTCCTCGGTCCGGCTGTCTTCATGGGAAAAATGCCGTCAAAGCTAGTGAAAGTTTTAAGGTTTTATTTTCTTAAGCTGCCCGACATGGAAGTGATGTACAACGAGCCCTTTGTACGCAAGATGCTGGAGTCCCTGTGCTCCAAATTCGTGATAAAATACTTGGTCTGTCGGAATGTAGCCTTTATAATTTCTGGCGGTGCCTCAAAATATTTAAATACGGTTTGTCCCCTTATCCATATCATATATGTACCTAATTTATCAGTTCTCTTTCCTAGACCCTTATACCGGCAATCGCGGGTACAGCTTCAGCGGGTATTTCAAGTCGTCAAATTAAGCACTATGCCCAACTTATAAACTCCGGAAAATTTGCCCTCTACGACTTTGGAACCAAGGATAATCTCAAGATCTATCGCAAAATAAATCCACCAGACTATCCGCTAAATGTGGCGCACACTCGTCACCCCATTGAATTTTACTACAGCAACGGCGACCGCCATGTCAGCCGTGGAGGATGTGGAGCGGGCCATCATGGCTTTGCCCAATGCACGACGACATCTCATGCCGTTAACCGGATGGGGTCACATCGACTATGTCTTCGGCCAAAATCTAAAGGAAAATGTTAACAATGATATTATCAAAATTATGAATACCTTTGAGTCTCGCTCAAGCCGAGCCTAACAATCCCACTGAATAAGTACGTGTGTTGTACCAGTAAGATGCGTCGTATACGTGATGTATTAAACGAAAGGGGGAACCTTAGCAAACGAATGTCTCAGTGGTAGTTTTTCTGGAAACAATATACCTTCGCGATGTTCCTAGATTTCAAATTGATTTAATTATAGAAAGTTGATTGAAATTCCCTCATACGATTCCAAGATGAATTCTATGCTTAAGTCTTGTGTGATATATTGTATATATATCCCCTAAGATAATTATCAGATTTGAATGCCTGGAAGCAAAGAACCTCAGAATTACATAATTTCAGCAAATTTCAGTAACGAATTCGTTTGGAGCAGCTTAATCGAATTTGATCCATTTGATAATGGATCCAATAAATCGAATATTCACTCGATCGATTTTTACTTGCAGTAACGAGAACGATCACGTCGGAAGGAAAATGTTTATATTCTTCATCCTGAGTTTACCATTTCAACTTACAAAGAATAGCCTGTCTGGCGTGAGTGGCTTAGTGCGATTTAGTATCCATAAGTAATCTATGAATATTCTTTAAAATTGCATTTTTAGTCGGACATACTGTCTTTTTACAAATACCCTGCCATGGAGCACACCGTGACAACATACGATGGCTATATGGCTCAAGTTAATAAACATTCCATACTCGCCACGTGGGAAAGGCGCAATACCAAATATTTTTAAGCCCGTGGTCTTTATTCAGCATGGAATGACCGGCTCCTCGGACACCTTTCTGTTGACCGGACCCTCGGATGGCTTGCCCTACATGCTCGCAGACGCTGGATTCGATGTGTGGCTGGGCAACTCACGGGACAACACCTACTTTCACAAGCACAAACGCTTAAGTCCTCGTAGAAAACACCGTAATACGCATGTTATCTATCTGGGCATTGGTAGCATGAAACGGTCATGAAGGACCTGCTGGCGAGCACACACAACATATGTGTTCCACATAAATGGATGGTGAGCTTGAGAATCAATGCCCTTCCAAAACAACGCCTCAGCCATGGTGAAGGTCATCTACATAGAGCTTATACAATCAATCCGTGACTAAAAAACGAATCTCATCTGATTTGAATGCTATTTAAATATAAACCAGAAGAGTGTAAAACAGTTGATCTTTTTAAGAAGCTGCATTGACGTTGCATCAAGTTTAGTTTGGAACTATCATAGGAAGCGACACGTGAAATGGCAAAAGTTCTCTTGGGGTGGATAGTTCTTGTGGTGAACATATTGGGAGTCGCTCTGAAGAACACGGTGAGTGCTGTGTAATGGGTGCTGCTTCGTTCTAATAGCCGCTTTGTGTGGACAGGCCGAGTATATCAGCGCTCACAACTATCCCGTGGAGAAGCATACGGCGGTGACCCAAGATGGTTACGAGCTTACCCTCTTTCGGATACCGTACTCTCTTCGCCGTCCCAGCACGCCGGGATTAAAGCCCGCCGTACTTTTTATGCACGGTATGACTTGCTCCTCTGATTATTGGGTGATTACCTGTCCAGAGGAAGGTCTCCCATTCCTACTGGCCGACGAGGGCTACGACGTTTGGCTGGCTAACAGCCGAGGAAACACATATTCGCGTAAGCACAAATCCCTTAGCCCGAAGAAAAGGAAGTTCTGGGAGTTCGATTGGCATGAGATCGGAATATATGACATCACCAAAAGCATCGAACTTATACAGGATGTGACTGGACAAAGCGCTGTGCACTATGTGGGACACTCGCAGGGATGTACTTCATTTCTGGCGATGCTCTCGATGCGACCTGAGTACAATCAAAGAATTAAGACGAGCCATCTCCTCGGCCCGGCTGTCTTCATGGGAAAAATGCCGTCGAAGCTAGTGAATGTTTTAAGGTTTTATTTTCTTAAGCTGCCCGACATGGAAGTGATGTACAACGAGCCCTTTGTACGCAAGATGCTGGAGTACCTGTGCTCCAAATTCGTGATAAAATACTTGGTCTGTCGGAATGTAGCCTTTATAATTTCTGGCGGTGCCTCAAAATATTTAAATACGGTTTGTCCCCTTATCCATATCATATATGTACCTAATTTATCAGTTCTCTTTCCTAGACCCTTATACCGGCAATCGCGGGTACAGCTTCAGCGGGTATTTCAAGTCGTCAAATTAAGCACTATGCCCAACTTATAAACTCCGGAAAATTCGCCCTCTACGACTTTGGAACCAAGGATAATCTTAAGATCTATCGCAAAAAAAATCCACCAGACTATCCGCTAAATGTGGCGCACACTCGTCACCCCATTGAATTTTACTACAGCAACGGCGACCGCATGTCAGCCGTGGAGGATGTGGAGCGGGCCATCAAGGCTTTGCCCAACGCACGACGACATCTCATGCCGTTAACCGGATGGGGTCACATCGACTATGTCTTCGGCAAAAATCTAAAGAAAAATGTTAACAATGATATTATCAAAATTATGAATACCTTTGAGTCTCGCTCAAGCCGAGCCTAACAATCCCACTGAATAAGTACGTGTGTTGTACCAGTAAGATGCGTCGTATACGTGATGTATTAAACGAAAGGGGGAACCTTAGCAAACGAATGTCTCAGTGGTAGTTTTCCTGAAAACAATATACCTTCGCGATGTTCCTAGATTTCAAATTGATTTAATTATAGAAAGTTGATTGAAATTCCCTCATACGATTCCAAGATGAATTCTATGCTTCCCCTAAGATAAATATCAGAATTGGATGCCTGGAAGTAAAGCACCTTCAGAATTACATAATTTCAGCAACCTAATCGAATTTGCGAGGCTTTAAGTTGATAATATATCCAATAAATCGAATATTCACTCGATCGATTTTTAATTGCAGTAACGAGAACGATCACGTCGGAAGGAGAATGTTTATATTCTTCATCCTGAGTTTACCATTTCAACTTACAAAGAATAGCCTGTCTGGCGTGAGTGGCTTAGTGCGATTTAGTATCCATAAGTAATCTATGAATATTCTTTAAAATTGCATTTTTAGTCGGACATACTGTCTTTTTACAAATACCCTGCCATGGAGCACACCGTGACAACATACTATGGCTATATGCTTAAGTTAATAAACATTCCATACTCGCCACGTTGGAAAGGCGCAATACCAAATATTTTTAAGCCTGTGGTCTTTATTCAGCATGGAATGACCGGCTCCTCGGACACCTTTCTGTTGACCGGACCCTCGGATGGCTTGCCCTACATGCTCGCAGACGCTGGATTCGATGTGTGGCTGGGCAACTCACGGGGCAACACCTACTCTCGCAAGAACAAACGCTTGAGTCCTCGTAGAATCAGATTTTGGAGATTTAGCTGGCATGAAATGGGCAAGGAGGATATACCGGCGTCCATTGATTACGTGTTGAATAAAACTCGCCAACCAGCACTGCACTACGTGGGCTACTCTCAAGGCTGCACTGTATTTCTGGTGATGCTGAGCATGCGGCCAGAATATGTCACGAAAATTAAGACAACGAACTTGATGCAGCCGCGTATATGAAACACATGAATCGCCACCGTTCTTAAAATGCTGCTGTCCTTGGACGACATAGAGATGCTTAGTAACCGCCACGGACTAACCAGCTTAGTGAATATCATTTGCAGTTTCCGGCTAATAGCTGGGCTTTGCAGGAATCTATTTTTGATGGTGAACCCTGATTCGTCGAATCAAATGAACAGGGTATGAGTATCAATTCATGCATTTCGAATGCATCATTATGATGCACACCTGATCTTGATCTTCTTATAGAACGTTATAGGGCTTCTTTTGAAGACGCATCCGGCGGGCATATCGTCCAGGCAGCTGCGGCATTACATGCAACTCAAACAGTCGAAGAGATTCCGCATGTTTGACTATGGCTACAAGACGAACATGCTGGTCTATAGGAATGCCTCGCCGATCGATTATCCCCTAAAATATATTCAGCCACAATCTCCGATCCATATATACTTCAGCACCAAGGACGATCAGGCCACCAAGAAGGATATTCTCTTTCTCGCCAGGAGATTGTACAACCGTAGACTACATCAAGTCCCGAAAGCCTGGAGTCACAAGGATTTTATGTTTGGGTGTACCGTCGGCCGGGATTTGAGTATGCCGATTGTAAGACTCATCGATCAATATGAGCACTATTACAATAAAAGAATGATGGGTTACCCTTGATTGTGATTTTTAATCTCCTCTCAGCTATATGCTATATGCTAAATACTATACATTATTTATTTATTAATCAGTACGCGTATCCATAGCTGATCGCCGGATCAACCAAAGAGGTCTAGTTCGTAAATCTACAATTTATTGTTTTTGGCACTATTGATAGTTCTGGCTGTCTGGCCCTTCTCTAGGCATCCCTTCGCGGGCATCGGGTATCGGGCATCTCTAGCGACGACGCTGCTCGTAGCGATTCATGGAGACCACGATGTTGTCGAAGATGTATTCTCGTACACCCAGGCCGCAGATGAAATCGAAATGATTCCATCGCTTCCAGGGCACCTTGTACGCCGCCTCAACATTGGGCAGGCGTGTGAGCAGCTTCCAGATATCCGCCGGGGCGACAATGTAGTCGTTCTCCGAGAAGAAAATGGTTACGGGCGTTGACACCTTCTCCAGGGCGTACTCTGGCGGCTCCAGTTGCTGGTAGTGCAGCCAGTTGCGCTCCGGGCCGTAGTCGTACTGCCGGAACTTGGTGGATATGTAGCCCTGGAAGTAGTGCATCAACTGCTTGACTGATCCACCAGTGGGAAAGTTTGCCATCAGGTCCGGCAGGAGGGTTTTGTTGAGGAACCGTGTGTCGTAGCCCACGGCGGGCCAGAGCCGGGTGATGCACACCAGCGGCTTCTCGTTGTCCAGGCACGTCATCGAGAGGAGCTTCTTGAAGAACTTGTTCGTGGAGAACATCTCGACGCCCTCGAGCATCTTGGAGATATAGTTGCGCGTTCCCAGTATGGGTCCCACGATCTTTGCCAGCCCGCTCTTCGTATTGCTCACATAGGCCACCGGTGCCAGCAGCGTTGCCGTCTTGAAGACAGCATTATATTGCGGCATCATCGAGTTGAACACAAGGAAGATGGTGCCGCCCTGAGAGATGCCCACGAAGTGCATCCTCGCCACACCGCTGGCTCGCAGCACATAGTCCACCTGAGCGGGCATGTCGTAGATACTCATCTCGTGCCAGCTAAAGTTCCAGAACTCCCTCTCGGTGGCGTTCATCCAGAGGTTGTGCCGGCAGTAGATGTTGCCCCGATTGTTGCCCAGCCACACATCATAGCCGGCGCGCCACAGCAGATAGGCCAGCGAATCTTCGCGTCCGTTCAGCAGCCAGCTGCAAGGGAAATGGAATTTCAGTTGGTGACTGCTCTGGTGTATCGTATCTGGGGCAAGCGGAAGCAGCGCTCCTGCTGCTATTACTCACACATCCGACGAGGCGTACAGGCCGGAGAGCAGGAAGACAACGGGTCGACGCAGCACGGTGCCCTCATTGGGATCCACCTGCGGTATGCGATGCAGCGTCAGCACATAGCCATCCTTTGTTGTCACCGTGTGCCGTTCGACGTTGTAGCCATCGTTCTGTATGCGCCGCACCTGCAACGACAACAACCAGAGCCACCATCATTAGTGGAGCCAGGAAGCTACATAGTTCGCCTCCCTCTGTGCAAACAACACACACACACACACACACGATCCGAAGTGAGGCGAAGCCCAAAAGTCGAAACACACACCGAAATGTTGGCACATTTATTCGTATTGCTTGACATTTGGAGGCCGAGACGAGACGCGTGCGTTGTGACATTCAGGTAATTAGGAATTCTGCGAGCACACAGCGACGCGCACGGGGCCTCCCCAGATTTGATCCCCATACCCCTACCCACCACCACACCTATCCACACACCTACCGCATCTGTTATGATAATTTCGCGGGACTGACGTAGGGTGGCAGTCACCTGTTGCAGCGGCAGCAGCACCAACAGCAGCCAAGACAGTGCAACTGCGAATAGCGACAACAGCCCGACGACATCCAGAGGCTGAGGCAGAGGCGATCGCATGGCTGACCAGGATTATGATTACATGAACGCTGCTGGGATGCGGTGGGGATTAAGTAACGCAGCCGTAGAAGCTGAACCGGTCCGAACGGGGTCGTGCAGTCGTATCGATCGAAAACGAAAGCTGCCTGCGGTGCACGCGGTGCCCCAGCTGCCCAAGGATTGGGATTGGGAATAGGACTGGAACTGGGACTGGCACTGGCACTGGCACTGGGGATCGTGAGTGCGAAAAGAAAGTACGATACGACCACCGGACCACCGGACCAGCTACGGCCAGAAGAGAGCTTTCAAAAAGGCCGAAACAGAAAGAGTCGTCGCGCTGCTCGTATGTACGTTCGCATGAATGAATATGAATGAAAATTGCAATCAAAGTGCCGTTGTCGATGCTGTTGCTGTTGCTGTGGCTGTCGTTTTCGTTGTCGCCACTATTTTTCGTCGTTTTCGTGGTCGGTCTCGTGCTCTCGTACTCGCCCGGCGGTACCGCTGCTAACGTTCGATTCGAATGTGCTTTATCGACTGCGCATGCGTCCGCGACTCGCAGGGCTTGTTACCCGCGCCAAGCCAGCGCCAACCTGCCTGCCTGTCTGCCACCTAGCCGCTGCTTCTGCTGCGGCTGCTCCAGCCACCTGCATGCCGCAGTCGTGTGCTTTACCTTAACTGAGCGCCCAAAAAACACGGCGGCGCATCCAACCAGCCGCTTCCCCTCCATCTCTGCTGCTGCTGCTGCTTCTGCTGCCATGCTCTCTGTCTGGCAGAAAGTAAGCTCTGTACATACACTGTGCATAATAACCACAGCTCGCCCCGCCACACCTACACACGCTGCCCTGCCGCCCCTCGCCAAAGTGACTTGGCTTGCCGCCATGGCAATTTGAGCAATTATAACAGCTTAATGAAAGAGAGAACGCTGCCCAAAGGTGTCACCCGTACCCGTACAGTGGGCGGCATCAAAGCTACAATTTTTGTGGGCTCTGAGCAATGTGAGAAGAAAGTGGAATTGACCTTGTCGTAGGGAGAAACCCATAATCAGATCATATGAGCCATACAGCTAGAGCTCTCCTCACGGACATCACTCGGATTCAATCTGAGGTGTGGGGGGTCACACCCATGTAGCTACTGCAGCCATGCGAGAGACTCCATTCAAGGGAGCTTTCCCTGTACACAAATATTTAAATTCAGCGATTCATTTGGCTGCATTATCTATATTATCTATAGATGTCGATGCTGGATGATTGATCAATCAAAGTAACAGGAACGGAACGGAACCGAACCGAAGCCACTTGGCTATTCAAGAGACATCCCAGCTGGTAGATAAAGGATGATAAATACTCTCAAAAGGCCCAACAATACGGAACCCCACTGAAAGTTATGCACATCACATACAATGGCATTCATGAAATACAATTGATTTTGAGCAGTGTATACATTTTTGGGAGCTACTTACTTACCTTTGGTTTTTTTTTTCTGCTCTTTTTTTTGGCTCAGGCTCTGACTGTGGCGGTGGCGGTGGCGGTGGCTTGGCTCGTATTGTAGTCGTCTGTCGCCGTTGTTTTCGCTGAATTGCAATAACCTGTTGCCTAATGAAAACGGCGTCTGCTTATTTAGGATATGGCCAAGCCCGGCCCGGCCTCTGGCCCCACAGACAGTCAAAGTACTCGCACCGGCATGCCATGCGGCACTCACATACCCGCCATGGATACTCGTAGGTACGTTTGAATAGCTATGGATGGTTGTGTCGCTTTTCTGATGTTTATGTTTACGTACTCGAGAGACAATTGACGACGTCAGTCAGCCCAGTGTATGACTCCCCTCCTGAGGAACCACTTCCCACTCTCTCACAATCCATTCAGTGGAGCGACCTGGAGAGCTTTCTGTTTGCTTATATGGCTTTTTAATAACTCGCCAACAGCTGCGCAAGGGGTTGTAACTGCTGAGCACATACTACGCTATCATTGGACTTTTTACTTACTATCCGAAACCGTTTCATCAATGGACCGGTTGGCCGGACGCTCCACTGGCCCAGTGTCGGCATTGACCACCAGATGGACACTCAGACCAGACTCATTCACGTACGTGAATGCCCCTCAACGCGGCAAGCAACCTACTAACCCGTCGGATCGGCCCAAGGCAAGTCCCAGGGGCGGTGCCTCGTACGTACATATGTACGTATGTACATTTGCCTGGCGTTAAAACAGTTTACGCTAATTTCTATTGTGACACATCCGACAGTGTTTGGACGCGTGCGACGTCGAGACGAGTTGAGCTCCAAAGCCATTCATCCGTTCAAGCAACCAGCGGTGGATCAAGTAAACTGTTTAGTTTACGGGTTTCGACAATTAAACAATAAACATATGACGCCGAGTGCAAGTGCGAGTTCGAGTTCGTTTAATGAAATGGTGTCTGGGGCCCTGGGGGCCAGGGGCATCTTTCACAGCTCCGGCTCGAACCAACCTCCACCTTGTTTGACTTTCTTCACTTTCGGGCTAATGTCTAATGGATTCTATGCAATGGCGGCCTAAAACTAAAATCCATAATGCATGCTCCATGTCCATGTCGCACTTCATTGCCAAATTTGCTTGTTTACTATTGGTCTCCGTATTTACCCACATCGATGATACCCAGGTGATGTAATTATGGGGTTTAAGTAATTGTATGAACAGCGGTATATTAATGACCAAGGTATTGGGTTTCAGTTGATAAGGCAGCTTTGACAAAGAGAGGCGACACCGACACCGATTCCCACACCAAAAGGAAGTTTCTAATGCCATTTCTATGAGTAATATTCATTTGTGTCAACAGAAAATAGATTGTTTTGTCACATGCCTTTCCTGGAACGTACTATGATCTGTGTACGTCTTATATTTCAATGAAACTATCACAAAGTTTCACTTTTTAACGATTTACGTACATTGAGGGGAAGTCCCTTCAATTACGAGTGATTTCCTTTAAGTTCAGCTCTCTTTAGAGGCCCCACTAAAGAAAGATACTGCCTGCCAATAGCTACTTTAATCGGTTGTTTAATTTACAAACATTTATTCCATTTGTGTATCACTCATACATTTCGGGGAAGAGCATACAGATATTGGTTATCTGCCAAGAGTTTGATAATTTCTCCACTTTCGTTGGCTGCTGCAGTCCGTCATTCAGCTACAGCCGCGACTTCAATGACAGTTGCGTGGCGTGAACTTTGTATTGAACTTGAAACCCAAATTGGACAAGATCTGCATAATGCATGCCCCATACACATACACATGCACATGCACCGACTCGATACGATGCGTTGTGGCGGCCACAAATCAAAGGCCCGGCCCCAGCTTTTCCTTTGAACAATGAGCTGACATTTCACTTTGAGTGCTCTTGTTTCTGATACTCGAATGTTTGCATTGGGTTTCGTTTTCTTTCGGTCTCTGCTAGTGGGTTTCCGGTCAGCACAGCCTTTCTTCTTTCGTCTTTCGTTTATCTAAACCAGAAAAGGCCAAAGGCAGGGCAGGGCAGGGCAGGCGATGTAATCAGTTGCTTATCAATGCAGCGCCAGCCGAGGCCGTCGGTCATAAAACGAAAGTGATTGACGAGCGAGCTCGCTCGGGGAAAAGCCACTGACGATGACTGTCACCAGATCCCCGGGTCACTTTTTCACAATGCTAATCTGGGTCTAATTGCTTCTTGATGTGTTTGTAAATTGGCTTGGCAAACGGCGGGCGGAGTGGCCTTGGCCAGGAACCGTCTACCTGTCTGCGGGCTTCTCTAATTGCAGTCCCGACTAGAGTCGTTCGCGGCTACTGGCTGCCTGAGTCATGAGCCAGGGATTACATATTTACAGCTCGCTGGCTGGCCTGTGGCTAGCTAGCTAGCCAGCTAACTGCTGGCTGACTTAACATGGCAATTGTCGGTCGTAAAACTCGGCAAGCAAAAATAAAATAAAAAATATCAACAAAAATCTCAATCCACCGCCACGACTCCGGCGACAACAAAAGGAATATGGTGAGGCTTTAGGAGGAAGTGGCTGCCACCGTCGACGTTGTTCGTCATGACTAAGCGTTGTTACTCAAAGGGAAACCAATTGATTCCTTCCTGTTTGCCGTCCGTCCAGTCCAGTCCAGTCCACCACCGCAGAGCCACGACGGCAATAACAAAATCTAAATATTTAACGACTAAATTGAATCTGAAGGCGCGCTCACATTAGTCAAATTTCCGTGGCACGGCCTGGACTGGGGTTACCTGCTGGCATAATCAATAAAAGATAAACAGTGGGCCGACCAGTCCCAGACATCGTTCGAGTCCCAGGCGGAGACTGCAACTGAACTGCAACCCATTGAAATGGCTACCTCACGTAATGGAAAATGCTGCAGGAAAAGCCTACACTCGCCAACAGCCGCCACAATAACAACAGAGGAGCCTCCAAACCAACTAATACAGACATGTCTGTACGTTGCAATATTCGTACAACAAATAGGAGTTGAGTAGAGTATGTAAGGAAGGGGCCTCCTCGTTGTCGATTGTCGTCATTGTCGACAGCTTTGCCAGAAGTTTCGTTTGGGATTCTGTCTGGGCAGACCAGTCCCCCCCATCCATTCAGACCCCCGTGGACCGACCACAGCACTCCACTCCGATGCTGCACTCTCGTTCAGACAACGTCTCGCACTAGGCCAACCGTTCACAGGCAAATCATTCACGCTCCAGCACTGAGCATTAAACAAACACTGGCAACGGGGATTCGTCCCAGTCGATCAGGCTGATAAGCGTTTCGGTTTTGGGTTTCGAATATAAATTAGTTTTTAAATTATGTTATCAGTTGGTTACATTTTCCTTCGTACATACATATGTGGAAAAGTATTCCCATAATTTGAACGCATAATCTGTGCTCTGATTGATTACACATGATATCGAAATGGGGGGCTTGTCCTACTCTCCAGACCCTTATTGTTCATGCTCTCTTTTGTATTGGAGCTCTCGTATTGTACCAAATAAACAATACAAGTACGCGTACGCATACGCGTACGAGTGCCGGGCAGAGGTAGAGGTAGACCCCGACCCCGACCCCTACCGAGCTAAGAGTCCAAGCCAAGCCCGAAGAGCGCCTGCAAGCGAATTGGCTGCCTACAATGAGAGGGGCTCGATGACGATGTGGATATGAAGTACCCCCCGATATAGCCGCGCCAAAATGTTAGTTCCGTTTCGACGAGGTTGGGCCAGGAGCCTGGCGCTTGGCGCTTGGAATACACTTTTACACTTATCAGACCACAACACAAACACACAGCACAGTCCGCAGAAGCACACAGATACTGCCGCTTTATGGTTGGGGCGGTGAGTGGAGGGGCGTGGCGGGGCGGCGGAAACTAAACTCCACACACTCAGCCCCACTCAGAAGCGGCTGCAGAAGCCGTATGCCTGCCATGCCCTATTATTACCCAAAGGAAAACAAATGCAACTCACATGATGGATCTGGCGTGCGGCAAAATGCAGAGAAACGCAGAGGGACCCGGCCCAGGGCCATGCCCGACATCGTCATCAATATACATACATATATATATATGTACATACATACATACATATATCAGTATATGCAGTGGCTGTTGTCTGCCACAGCAACGACGTCGACGACGACGACGACGGCAACAAAATTCCAGAGCGCACGCGTTCTCAACTTTAGTTCTTTGCGAGTCGCCAACGCGTTCGGAGCTGAAATCGGAGTCGGAATATACAGTCGGAACAGGCAGACCAGACAGGCATCAAATAAGGCAGCAGGCAGGCAACAGCTGAAACTCTCAAGAGAACCAACGCAAGCTGCATTTGTATCTGTGTCCATCATTCTGCATCTGTTGTGTGTGTGTGTGTGTTGTGCGTGCGCGTGTGTGTGTCTGTGTTAGCCGGCTCTTGGCCAGTTTTGTTGATTTCGGGCCCGTCAAACAAGGAGCGACAACCTAATCAATCAGTCATTCAATATGGCAATTTCTAAGAGCCATCGCCTTGGCAGCATCAGTATCAGGAGAAGCAGCTGCAAAGTCGTTCCAGGCAGATGCTGCACCGGGAACAGGCTGCCCCTGGCTCTGGCATTGCTCTACGTGACGCTGGCCGCAGTGTCCATGCTGGCTCCATGCTCGGCTCTACCTTGTAAGTATCAGACAGATAGACACGCCAGTTCCATCACTTGCCATCGCCACATCCCTCCCATTCCCCTTATAAGCCCCTATAAGAGTGCATCTGAGATGCATTGTCGTCATCATCATCATCGTCAACATCATCATCTTTGTCGTAATCACTTGTAGATGCTGCCGTTGCTGCGGTCGCATCAGGCCTTTGACTTATATATCTGGCTGCTGTTATTGCTGGCTGGCATTATTGCATTTTCCCCGTTTTCTTTTAGTTTGTTGGCATAATTCAAACAGGCACTGACTACAGACAACATACCATTCCAGCAAACTGCGCGTAATTATGCCGCTGCCGCGTCTGCCGCGATGCCTCAGCACAGCGACAGCACAAAGCGCGATCCAATCTCCCCCACAACGGTGGCACTTTGGTGTCATATAAAACCACACCACACCCCACCCCATCGACAACTGAGAGTCATGGTGCCCGTGCCCCGTGCCCCCCCCCCAAGCCAGCGTGCGAAAGTTCAATAATGTTTAGTAACAGGCCAATTGAGGCGGTCGCCAGAGTTCAAGTTGTGCGATAAAACGTAGATAGCAGACGGCGATCAGTCGCAATTCAGTTAAGGATGGGACCAAGGGGAGAGTTTTTAATGGGGGATCCACCACTCGGACATTGCATGCGTCAGAAGACTTCTAATTAAGCGGGGTTCCCTATTTTCGGTTTCGAACAAACTCATATTGTTTATCGCGTTCCATCAATTATAATTGTAATTACAAGTTCCTAAAACACATAGCAGTCTCGGCAGCACCACCCTTAGAGTAGAGTTGCAAGGATCATTGATCATGCTTGCATGTTGCCCCGTGTTGAACATGTAATTTTTCTCACTTAGAACATGCCCACACAACATGGGAGCATCCGAATATGTCCAAAAAGATAATTTCCAAATGCAGGCAGGCAGACAGGCACACCACAGAAGGGACCGACCGACCGGACCGACAGATGACACTGCCCCGGCCCGGTTTGGGCAACTGCAACTTCAACTGCGACAAGCTGCGTGGCCAGCCGAAAAGAAAATCGATATATTTTTCCTGTTGTTGTTTTTCTCTAAATGCCATTTCGTTTGGCTTTGTCTTTGTTTTCGTTGGTGCGGCATTCTTTGTCCCATTTTAAGACCTTCTTTAGACGCTGGGACAGACTCTATGCCGATGCTGTTATTGTTGTGCTGCCTGACATTCGTTCCCAAGGGATTGGGAATAGGAATAGAAATGGGCAGTGGCATGGGCCGCGATGCCGCCCATGCATATCTCATGCAGAGCATCTAATAATTCTGTTTTTCCACGAATGCAGTTGCATCTCCCAGTGTCTTTTGGGCACAAGCACATGCATGGGTATGGGAAGGGATTGAGAATTGAGAACAAGATGTGCGTGCGAGGAGGGACAGGGACAGGGACAGGAATGGATGTCGTCTCATAAATAAGTCAGCTACTTTATAGGCAAAAAGAAAAAGAAAAGACAAACTGGGCGGGTTGCCGCCGCCTGGTTTCGTTGGTTTGTTTATTTTGTTACTAATTTGGGATGTTGTTGGTGTTGTCGTGTGTGTCTGGAATTTTAATCACTGCATCGACGACCACTTGGAAGCATTTTGAATTATTGGGGCGCGGGCGTACGTATGTGCATACTGCGGGACGGGAATTCGGGTTGCGGCCAGCCCGCTATCTGGGATCTGGGACGGGACGGAACTGCGGTATCGGGTCCCAAGAAGTTGTCAATGAATGTGTGAGAAAATGTACGCTGATGACAGCGATGATAGCTGCCGCTGCCGCTGCCGAATAGATGTGGCTATGAATGGGCCGTGTCGATGTCCATATCAATGTCGTTTGTCAACGCATACCGTCAGATACTCGTAGCGTATATGCTAGCGGGAGCATGGGCATGGCCATAAAGCAAAACCATTCGAAAAGGCCTAATGGCGGCTGTGTGGAATATGGCAGCAATATTGGTTTATTAGTTCGTTAAATGGGAAGTTTATCAATGTAACGGTTGGAAGGGGACGGGACGGGACTATTAATATCGTTTGAAAATAAATTTTATTAATTTTCGGTCCAAAAAGCTTTTGGACATTCCTGTTCCATACATCACGCAGGTTCTTTCCTGTTTTTACTTTCTCCCAGCTTGTCGTTGTTCGAATTTGCATTTCGTAAATCATAATTGATTCCATTCTGTGAAAGTTGTTCAACAGGAGAGTTAACTGGTGGACCCCACACAAAACAAGACTCGAATCTAGATCTATAGATCGTAATTTGATGATCGCCCCCCAGATCCATTTACCACCCACCTGTATATGGGTAAAGTACATAGAAAAGTTGATGAGTGCAATGGACAAGATGCAAATAGGAGATTTTTTTATTATAGTATTTATTAGCTCTTTTTAATTTAGAGTTGATGCAAATATAATATAATATTTTGTATGCATGCATAGTGTATGTTTTAGAGCCTTTTCAATGCGATTTTTTAATCAAAAATAATTATATCCGATAAATTAATATATTCTCTACCTGATAGATAAAGTTTCAAACGAAATTTTTATCCGGTTTCTTTTTAAAAAATATTAAAACAAAAAATGTATAAAATTATACAAATAAATCAATTCTACATGACATCCTACATGAATTATACACAGCCAACTCAGCGCCATCTGTTGGCGTGTACATGCAAACTACATCAAATTTTACATTCAAAATCCACATTGGTTCGTGTCTTAACTATGTGTTTTTCTTATCATTTTAGTCGAGTCAACGACCCTGCCTACGGATGTCGAGGAAATCGTGAATCAAAATGAAACGACCGTTGCGCCTGCCGTCCAGGATGTGGCGATCATCGATCCTGTCGAGACCAAAGCGTCTGAAGTTGTGGATGAATTGGTAGACACCAGCTTTGTCTCTTTGGGAGGCGAGGATCTGGAGCAGGACATACGAAATGCGGTGAAGAGTGAAATGGAGTTGGAAATGGAGGCCGATGCCTCAAGTCCGGTGGTGCCACTGAACGAGGAGCCGGCACAGGGACAAACAAATGAAACCGATCATGAGGACACTGAAGGTAAATGGTATGAACTTCCCAATTCGGACCATAGACTAACCAAACTCCAACCTTTATTTCCAGTTCAAAGTGTTCGCGAGCCCAAGACACTTGAAGCTGAGGAAGAGGGTCCCAAAGCAGTCCCATTGAACCCACAAGCGAACAACGATCAGTCCCAGGAACTGCAACAAACAAATACACATACAGATACTGATACCGCTACGGCTACACTCGTTTCCAACGGGGAGGAGGAGGGCACTAGCAGGCCGTTGCCCAGCGTGACCAGTGACGTGGTGTCCGTCATCTTCAACGAGAATCGGGCTATCACCGAGCAGCCCATCACCAAAACAAACCTGCTAGCCTTGGAGCAGGAGCACGAGGAGTTTGAGGAGAGAGAGACAACTCCGTTGCCGATCTATGAAGGACCCAAGCACCAGGTGACCAAGAAACAAGGCGTGGAAGATTTACTCCCCATTGAGGTGGCGCCGGAGGTTGATGCCGAGCCGGAGACTCCTTCGCAAGAAATTAAAACTCAACGCGAGGACCGCACACTTGAGGAGCAAAAAGATAGTCTCAATGAAATTGATACTGAGGAGATTGAACCAAAAGCCCTCAGCCCTGTCAACGTGGAACCTGCGCATGCGGAAATTGAAACTGAAGCCGAGGTCGAGGCTAGGGCGGAGATCGCAGCAAAGGCAGAGATTGAGGCACAGGTAGAAGAGGCAGGCCCGCCAGAGGAAACAATCGTGGAGCCCGCAGAGCCCCAGAACACCGTTGATGAGACTGGCCTACCAGAGACTACGGAGGAGACTGCAACTGAAGTTTTAAGCCCCGAGGAGGAGCAATCAGCGGAGGAAGTTGTTGTAGCCCAAACTGAGCAGATTGAGATTCATTCGGTAAATGAACCAACTCAAACACACCAACTTGAAGATTCAGATGTCAATCAAGACTCCCACAACGTTGAAGACGCGTCCAGCGAAGAGAAAGAAGCAGAAAGCGATGAAACAGATGCAAAAACCGAGCAACCCAAGCAGGATAGCGATTTGTCAGAGGAAGAAAAAGCATCCGCCGGAGATGAGCCGAAATCACCATCGGACGACAGCACGGCCACGCCGTTGGTGTCCTATCCACCACACAATGCTGGCCAGACCTTTGACAACAACTCGGCTGACGAGCAGTCAGCGCCCCTCTCGCGGCCATCCTCCTATCGCTCCACCATGATCATCGCCCTGTGCTCTGGAACTGCAGTGATCTTCATTATCACCTCGCTGGTGATTTTCGTGGTATCGTTCCAACGCCAGCATGGAACACTCGACATTGAGATGCAGGAGCAGCGACTTGGCAAGGACTCTCTGGACGAGGAGGATGCTCAGTTGAAGCTCCTCGATGTGGATCTCTCAACGCCCGTCATTGTGTCGATGGGCAACGAGGAGACAGACGAATGCCTATAGACTTTCGGCGCTGACTACCAGGGTGCCATGTAAATATTTCTAAACACTGATATTGCTTTCACTTAAGCGAAGCAGAAACGAAGACTTGAGCTAGCTGCTCCCTCCAACTGGTTGTTGTTACACTTTGGTTGACTGAGAGAAGCGGCACACAAATCGAAAGAAAAGCGAAATCGAATCGAAATCAATTGCCATATTGTTTAATTTTAAATGCACATTTATATCTAAGATTTTGCGAAATTTTTCCACACAATTTTAATATTTATACGAGTACGAGTATGTAGAAATTTTTCGTTAGAAATAAGCACATTTTTAATGAGTCTCTGATAGGAAGTCAGAATAAATATTTTCGATTAACTAACATGAGCAAGTTTTTTGTTGTATATGAATCACTGAATCACTGAATCAACTGATGCGACAGGTAAGTGAGTGTCCACAATTGAGTGAGTATTTAAGGAGCGTAGGAATGTAGCATGTAATATATTCCAGCAATGCCTCAAACTACACATAAAAGTCACTTTTGTTTAACACACAAATAAAATGCAAGCCTGGTGGAACCCTCGACACTCCGTCGCGAAAGGTTAACCAGAAACCAGAAGCATGATTTAGATTTCGGTCGCTGCGTAAAAGCGAGAACAATTTATGGCTTCAGTGCGACTAATTGCAGTGAGGCGTATTGATCAAAAGCTCATTTGCCACTCTGCCACTTTGCCACTCTGGCACTGCGGGCGGCCTGCATCAAAGTAGATTTTTAATTAGTTCATAATGTCGGGAGCAGCACGATCGATAGTGAGTGGACAGAGAGTGAGCAGCGGAGAGCTCCGAGCTTGCAACATAATAAATAAGCACATATTGAACTCTCCCCTTTTCGTTCCCCTGCCCCTGATCACATCACTGCCATAATTATAGAAGCCAACGAGAGCGCGGAGAGCATCGAAGACGCTTTTCCGATTGAGTTGTTCTGCTTGTGTGTGTGTGTGTGTCGCGTTTCCCTGTCCCTGTCCCTGTCCCTGTGCCTGCCTCTGTGTAAATGAGCTTAATGAGCGGAATGAAAAGGCGCTCCGCTCCGCTCGCCTTCGTGACCGATTGAAATAAACAAAATGATTTTCAGATTAAGAGTTTACGCTGGGCCTTTTCCTATTTGGATATGTATTTGTTTATGCGGGATTATGCAATCGCCCGCACAGTGGGCCGGGCTCCAGAGTCTCCGCGGCCACTGGGCGTATGGCTAAATAGTTTCAAATTTCTCTTTTAAATTAAAACAATCAATTTAAAAGCAATAAAATACCAATTGACAGCATAATTTTCACAATTCCATCGAAGTCAATTGCAAAACTCTCAAAGTCGGAGTCGGAAACCCAATGACGACCACGATGGCGACGTCATTGTGTGTGGTTGGGTGGCTTGGGGCTTGAGTGGTTGACTGCTCGACTGGGGGCGAAATGTGAACCGCATAAAAGTTGGCCATAAATGCTAGCAGAGTCTATCATAATGGCAAATATTAAGTTGCATTGCATGCAACACTGCAGCTACCCGCCACACACTGTCCACTGTCCACTGTGCTGCAGCCCAGAAGAGACTTTTACCATTTTCTTCTGGAACCCTTCCCAGTCCCCCCAGTGATGTGTAGGGAGCGTCTAACGCTTTCCAAAGCTCCCGCTCACTCGCTTTTCGCGCTGCTCAGCTGCTCGACTGCTCTGTGTTTGTTCTATTTGAAATAAGTAAATTCTATTTGAAATGAATTAAATAGTCTATGCATGCGATGCGTCTCTCCCACCCACCCACTGCTACTCCATGTCGCTCGCTCTCCCCTCTCTCTTTCTGAGAATGTCTCTCCCTCTTCACGCTCTGTCTCTGTCTAGCTCTCTGTGGGTGTGCGTGCTTTTCATCTCCCACATTTTGAGGCAACAAAATAAAAAACATACAAAATAGCAACATCAAAAGTTTTTTCAGTTTGCTTGTTGCTTTACACGCGTGCGGTTCGCTTTGGCTCCTCATCAGCCAGCAAAAGATATCGTGAGTTCGTTTTCGTATTCGTGTGAGGAGGCTCTTTGAGACCGCAAAAGGTAGAAGATTCTGAAATTCCGCTGCTATTTCGGAGAGCTGTGCAAACTTAGAGATATAATCGTACGCTGCGTATACGTAACATTGTCAGCAAGCCTCACAGATAGATAGGGGAAACCGGGGATAGTTTCGTGGCAATCTACTGCATATGCTGTGACAGAATTCAAATTTGTTGCTGCTGGCGCTCTGGCATAAAATTTGTGATTTTCAAGGTGTGCATTGGCGCAAAATTTCAGTTCAAATTCAAATTCCCAACAATACGAATTAAATAAACATAGATATACATAGATACAGCTGAGTATCTGTGTGTGTGTGCTTGTGTGTTTTTGTGGCCGATGTTTTTTTGGCAACTGTTTTTAACCATGTTCTGTGTGTGAGTCAGCGGCGTCTTGGTCGCGGTCACGGCAGTGAAATGAATTGAAATAAAACCAAAACAAAACAAAAAAAAAATAAATGCATTTGTTGTAGAACAAGAACGAATCTACCACCTCGCTCCCATTTCCCAATGGAAATCGCTCCCTCCCCATTTAGAGGCATAAACAAAGCCCGACCGAAATTTGTCTGCAGGTGTTGCATTCCCAGTGATGTGAGGCTATATGTGGCATTCTTCTGGGGCTTCTCTCAGTAATAACCCGCATGATATAATACAAATTTAAGGGCACGCGGCCAGTTGGCAGTTGAAGCAGATTACGAGTATGAGTGGGACTTGGATTTGGCAGCGTGCACTTGCAAAAGGAATATACATGTATATACTCGCATATGATAGATGTAATATGCACACAAGCATGCTTATAAGTACTATGATAACTAGAGCATCATCTCGTATGTCGTTTTGGTGCCAAAGTCAAGCGAATAATTGCAGCCCGGAGGCGGTTACAGGGCCAAAGCTGTCGCTGTCACTTTCACAATAAATTGTATCTACCCGCACATATATACTCGTATTTGTCGATGACGATCGCCCACCACTTATCGAATTTGTTTAACTCTCATTTAGTAGTTGTATTTCCTATGTGTTTTTGTTTTTTTTCTCAATGGCATGTGTACCACAATGTAATTTGTGGGCTGGCTGCGGTTGCCTGCCTCATTGTACTTGTATTTCGATGGATGTGGGGCGTGTGATTTGCCATATCTGACGCCGATCCAATGACAATAAAAACCAGCGGAAACAATGGTGGCAAACAGCAAATGAGTGCCACGAGTATTAGTATTAGTACAGTACCGCCCAGGCGGGAAAATTGTTTTTTGAATTGCTTAATTGATATTCAAATAATACTTAAAAATATGTTAATGAAAATTAAACGGGGCATACAAATTGCAAAGCAATTAAGATCAGAGAATTCTCTGTGTATGTTTTATTGACAGTTTCGCAGATCATTTGTATGCCAAGCACGCGAGTCACATTAAAGCAATCGGACGGGATGGATTTCAATCATTTTGAATCTTCCGCTTTGCTGCCATCTGCTTGATTGACAGCCCATTTCGCTTCCCTTTGAGGTGCTCTATAAGGCTAACAAATTTAAATCAGCATTAGCATTGAGATGGGAACTTGTGCAACCGCCATGCCACAGTGAGGCACACACCCACACATCGCACAGCGCAGAGCTTGGCTCATTTCCAGCATGATCGGCATGTTTCAGTTTCGGCTGCCTTTACGCATGATTAGTTAAAACAGCAATTAAACATTTTGTTAAACTACAAAACGAAACACAAAAAAAACCAGACCCGAAAAATAGTTGCCAAATTGGCATTTTCCAAAAAAAAAGAAAGAAAAAAAAAAAAAGAAGAATTCCAAATTCGGTCCCCCAGCGACGGAACGGAAGTTATAAATTCCTAAGCGGGGCTGATATCATGGCTATTTATACATATGTCGCCGCCCAGATGAGTTATTGCCCCAAGGGAACAGAAGTTGGTCAGCCACAGCATGGCATATCAATTAGAAGAAAGCGCCTCGGCTCGCCTCGCCCAACACCCTTTGGATTGGCATATGCCACTGCCACGCCCCACACACTCTCACAAGCATTCCTGCTAGAGCTAGCTAGGGGCAAACTAGGTGCAACATGTGCGAAAAAGCCCCGACCCGACACGTTCCGGTCATTAACCGGAAAAGTGCAACGCACAGACACAGAATGGCCACAAAAGAAGTCCCTTCGAGCCCCCATAGTACATTCCCCTTGCTAAAATCGGACACTAACTCATTTATGGCCACCGTTTGATTTGTTTAGAGCAAAGAAACTACGTAGTGAAAGTGCAGAGGAGAGCTGCTGCAGCGGAGAGCAGGAAAGGCCAATTCGCGCAAACACAAACAATCCGTTCGGTACTGGCCAAGTTTTACGGCCTGCCATTGCCATTGCGAGTGCGAGTGCCCGAGTCCGTGTGCGGCGGCAAATTTTAAGTGCAAAGAAAAACAATGACGACAGCCAAATGGATTTGGCGCTTGCTGCTGAACATCTTGCTGGGTGAGTGCGTACCTATAACTATGTTATTTTAAGGCCGACCGCAACTGATTTTATTGGCTTTTGATCGATTTACGGTATTTATAGTTTTTCATTTTAATTTTTAGTTCATTCTGTGAGCATTAAACGTTTTGCACATGGCTCTCGAAGCATGAATTCGTTACAGATGATGGATGTACACAGCCTTCGCTTGTACACAGTGCGTCACGAAAATATGCGAAAAGGGGATTCGATGGCCAAATGTCAATGATGGCATAATATTTATTTATACAAATGCAAAGTCAGAAGTGTCCGCTCTGAGGATGTTTGTCCGTCATTTTGTCGTAAATTTCTTTTAAATCACATAAACTAATTTCGAAAAAATGACTATGTGGCTATTAGCATGAAAATTAATTCTTGAATATTTCCATGCCAACAAAAGGCGAAAGAAAACATGGAAATAAAGATCAAGGCGATCAAGGCGAATCGGAAATACGCTTGAAAACAGCCTCTAATCAGGAAAACCCTTTATCATTAATAAACTGATTGATAGAAACAGTTAAAGGCAAACCTTTTTATTTTCCCTCCCTGAAATCAAGCCTTAAATATATAAAAGGAAATATAATATCCATTTTTAGAGCAGTCTATATTGAAATTCTGGCCTACCATGTCAACGTTCTGCTTCAATAAATCAATCGAATCTACACAGATATATGTACATACATATCATATATGTATGAATGTTCGGTATATATGTGTATTTCCCTTTTTCCTTTGCCACACATTCTCATTCCATGTTCACTGAGCATTTTTTTGGCAAACTCTTTTGACAAATCGCATCTGAACAGCTGGCCA